AAAAAGTGATTTGAATGCAAGGGCATCAACAATGAGCATTCTCCAGTGATGCCTGGGACCCAATAGAGAAAAAGCTCAAAATTATCTGAAATAATGGAATATGAAAGCATAACAGAAGACTATCAGCACAGCCCTGGAATAGTGATAGTATGGAAAACAATGGAGTTATCCGGTCAGCAACTCACGTACTATTCTTATGCATACTAACCCTAATATGCAGAAGTGGTTCTGGGATCAGATGATTGTATAGATTCAAAACCTAGGCCTCAAACTTTTCGGTTGTGTGCCTAATTACTTCGCCTCAATGTCTCATCTGTAAAACGTGAAAAATGATTGTTAGTGCTACACAGATCCGTGACGAACATTCGATGAGCTTATCGAGAGGGCTTAGTTTTGAACAGAACCAGGGTACGTTCTGCACTTAATCCCCGTGTCCTTGCCTTCCAGGACACCCTTTCTTGGTACTTCTGTTTCTCTGGTCATTCTTCAGTCTCCAAAGCCGCACACGGCCAGGGCACAAGTGAAGGAGTCCTAGCAGAGAACTAGTGCCGAGAGGCTTAGAGCCAGGCAGAGATGACAGAGGTTACACAGTGCTGGAGTCTGGGCTTACCTACGTTAAGACCCCAGAAAATTCATGCCCCAAAATAAAGACAATACTTGAGGAATAAGAGATAGGAATAAGGAATTCTAGAAATAAGAGTGAAACTGAAACAGACCACCCCAGTAAAGCCTAAACCCAAGTTCTGACAGGACCAGGTTGATCTGACCAGTCATTTGTTTTTCAGAGGAAACCTCTATAACGTATCATCCACAATTTCGAGCAAACAATAAAAATTATTAGATGTGCAAAGCGGGAGAACGTGTCCAATAATCAAGAGAAAAGAATCAGTGAAAGAAACAAAAGTAAAAAGGGATTTGAAAATAACTATGATGAATATGTCAAAGAAAAAAAGAGGAAAAGAGGCATAAGATACGTAACAGGGAACATTTCAACAGTTATAGTCAATAAAAAAAAAGAATTGACTGGACATTTTATTTTATTTTTATTTATTTATTTTTACAAATAGTTTATTGTCAAGTTGGTTTCCATGTAAGACTGGACATTTTAAAACTGCAAAATCCAGTATCTGAAATTAACAATTTACTAGCTGGCTTTAAAAACACCTTAATCCTATTTACCAAGAAGACAGAATTAATGAATACAAAGAAAGGCTAACAGAAAACATACAAACTGAGGGTACTCAGCTGGCCCAGTCAGTAGCATACGTTGACTCTCGATCTTGGGGTCTTGAGTTCAAGCCTCACATTGGGCAGAGAGCCTACTTTAAAAAAAATAATTAAAATTTTTTTAGAAAGGAAAACCTACAAACTTAAGCACAGAATGGTAAAAACAAATGAAAAAAAAATAGCATAAGAAAGACAAGGGACACAGTCAAAGAAGTCTAACAGTAAGTGTAGTTGAAGTGCTAGTCTGACAGGAGAAAACAGAAAAAAGCAATAGTTGAAGAAGCAACAGCCATCAACTTTCCAAGTTTAAGGACAGTGAGCAACAGATCTGAAGAACTGAGGAAACCTTAAGGCACTAACAAAAATTTCACAGTCAAATGGCTGAATAATAACCAAAAATAAGAAACCTCTTAAAAGCAAGTTTCACATGATCTGGCCATCCATTACCTCCCTGATGTCTTATGATTCTCCAACTTAATCCTTTCTTGCTCTTCCTTTCATACATCTGGCAAAATCTTGAAGTGGCTGTCTCTTCTGCCTGGAACATTCTTCCCCAACGTGCCTCTCTGGGCACCTCATTTAAAAATCACAGCTCACTTGCCACTTACTTGCACACTCATTCCTATGCTATCCAAGCCCTTAGATTCCCAATTACCCAACCATTCTGTATTTTTTCCCACAGCACTTTTCACCATCTAATATAACTTAGTCCTTATGTTTATTGCTAATTGTCTGTCTCCACCCACTAAAAAGCCATCTTTGAAAGGATAAAGATCTTTGTTTTATTCATTGTTGTATCCCACATATCTTGAATAGGCGTTGAACACATAGGTGCTCAATGATTATTTGTTGAATGAATGAATGCTATTATTATATTGTCATCACTCTAAGCCTTTTTAGTCACCAAATAAGTTCATGCTATGTCCTCCATCTAATATAGTTTTCTCTATTTACCTTTGGAACTACTTTTGACATGTGATAGAGGGTACAATAGTACAGTAGTTAAAAACAGACTCTGAAACCAGGTAGCAACTGGATCTGCAACTAACAATTCCATATATATATATACATATGGAATCTATATTCCATATACATATATATACACACATTCTGCACTCCAAATATATATGTACATATATATAGATATATATCACTATAGGTATTTATAGATATATATGTAACTTGAAGAATGTAGGCAAACAGTTTTCTTCATTATTAATAATTACTAATCCATTACTGATTTATTTATATATAATCAAGTAGTAGCAGTAATAGCATTCATTGTATAGTGTTCTTATAAGTTCTAAGCATTTCACATATTAATGCATTTAATCCTTCTATCAACCTCATGAAAACCAAGACACAGAAAGATTACCTAATTTGTACCATGACATACGGCTAGTAAGTGACACACAGGATTTAGATCCATGTTGAGTTCCAAATGAAAGAAATTTTTAGACTGTACAAAGTATTTCCTAAAAAATATATAAATGAACTAAATGTAACAATTACATTTATGTCTGCTTAAAAAAAGAAGACAAAATCTTTCTTAGCACTAAATACAGAAATGCAGATATTAGAATATGTCACTAGGTGATGCTCTTTGTTAAATTTCTCTCCCGAGAAGGTAATCTAAGGATTTAGAACTCATTCAGATGGGAAAGAATTTATGCTAGGTCTAATAATTTAGTTGGCTCTTTAACGACAAAAGTTACCTCATCCAGTAAATATATTTGTATGCAAAAAGGTAAGCCACACAAATTTATGGGAAACTTTCTGCAAAATTGGAAGCTTAGAATATTGAGACTTCCCCAGAATGAACATGGTATCCCTTCATTTATTTTTATCTTTCTCCATTCATGTCTACATTTTCCTTAATGTTTTAGTAAGATTTTACATTTTTAAACCAAAAAATCCAATTAAAAATGGGTAGAGGGTTGGAATAGACATTTTTCCAAAGAAGACATACAGATGGCCAAGAGACACATGAAAAGATGCTCAACATCACTAACCATTGGGGAAATGCAAACCAAATCATCTCATACCCTGTCAGAACAACTACCATCCAAAAGAGAAACAGCAAGTGTTGGTGAGGATGTGGAGAAAGTGGAACCCTTGTGCGCTATTCATGGGAATGCCAGTTGCTGCAACCACTATGAAACAGTATGACGTTTTCTTAAAAAATAAAAAATAGAAATACCATATGATCCAGTAATTCCACCCCTGGGTATTTACTCAAAGAAAACACAAACACGAATTTGAAAAGATATGTACCCCTATGTTTATTGCGGTATTATTTACAATAGCCAAGATGGGAAAGCAAACTAAGTGTCCATCCACAGATGAATGGATAAAAAGAAGTGAGATATATATATGTGTGTGTGTGCATAATATATACATCTATACATACAAATTATAAAATTAATAAGACAAAGACATATTGCAAACTTATCAAACTGACAAATATAAAGATCAGGTGTTAAAAAGGATACAGAGTACTGGAACTCTAATATATTGTAGGGAAAGGAGATACAATTCTTCTGGAAAGATAGCTTGGCATTATACAGTAATCCTGAAGGTATATATAGCTGGATGGCCTGTACTACTACTAGATATATATCTAAGAGAAATTTATACCAAGAAACAAGACGTGTACCAAGAAACACATGTAACAATGCTCGCAGCAGTATTCTTTGTACTGGGAAAATTTTAAAATAACTTGAATGTCCCTCAGCATTAGAGAGGATAAATAAATTGTTCATATGTTAAGACGATGGAATAAAACACAGTAGTGCAAAATGAACAAAGTAAAGCTCTTACAACAACATGGATCAATCTCATAGATAATGAAATAAAGAAGAGATACGAAATAACATGCGTGTATAAGTCTGTTCAGATAATGTTCAAATCCAATGTCTGCCACTTATTTTCAAATGGCTCAGGAAATGAAATATGTATCTAATATCTAATGAGAGATAAGAAAAATGTAACAGATCAATTGTGAATCTAGGGAAAGAATACACAAGGTTTCATTCATTGTATGAATTTGCTGTTTTCTTTGGGTTTGAGATTTTTCAAAATAAAAAGATAAAAAAGAATAAAAATCAGACAAAACTAATTTATACTGTTTAAAAGTAGTTTCTTCATCTGGATGACAGATGTATGACTTTTCTTAAAATTTTTTACTAAATTACACATATGTATTTTATATATATTGTCCTTATGTATATTTCACAAAAGAAAAAAGGTTTAAAAATGTGATCAGCTATGTAAAAATACTTTCAAGAAAAACTGCTATAAATAGACTTGTTAAACATTAAATAACAAGTCATTTAATAGCAAACTTGTAAGTAAAGGGGCTTTCTTATGTGAGTCACTTACTTGGGATCAATCTACCAAAAGGTACCAAGGACCAATTTTTAAGGCTTGCACTCTTGTAATATCATCTGATTTTTCCATGAGATAGTTCTTACACAAGCAACAATTCTGAATCGTGTTAGTTTGATATTAGGTAGCACATTTTTCTAATTAATTCCCTTGAATTACAATGATACCCTAATATTCACTTTGGTAGGTATTCCAGCATATGCTACTTAAAAAATGTATTATAACATAGCCGTTTGGGTGGCTCAGTCAGTTGGTGAAACGTCCAATTTCAGCGCAGGTCATGATCTCAAGGTTCATGAGTTCGAGCCCCATTTCAGGTTCTGTGCTGACAGCTCAGAGCCTGGAGATTGCTTCAGATTCTGTGTCTCCCCCTCTCTCTGCCCCTCTACTGCTTGCACTCTGTCTCATAAATAAATATTTTAAAAAATGTTTTAATGTATTAAAGGAAACACTAAATGAAAGTTTTAGAATTATCCAAGTATCATGCATAATCTATATAGTCCACGTGTGAATTTTGCCTGTTTTCTATACAGATTTTTGCTATTTTTCTCATTAGGATTTCACAGTATTTTTGTGTAAAACCCTCAAAATTCAAAAGTTGTTCAGAATTTCACATTTTCGAACTGACTTTTAATATATTAGTCCACTTGATTGTCTTTCGTGTCATCTAAATCAATATCAAAATCTAAATCATCATCACTCTCTTCTTCATTTCTTCTGTAACTTCTTTGGCTGGAACGTAGAGTACTTTCAGGATTTTCTGTCTTTTCTCGTTCTTTATTAAACCTAAAAATGAAAAAAAAAAAAACCCTAGTATTTATTTCTCGGGTTTTCATTATTTAACTACAGAGTAAAAAGAACTTATTACTACATTTCCTGAATAGGAGGAGCCTAAAAATATAAGTATAGAAAAAAAGTATAGAATAGTCCTTGAAGACTATTATCAGTCAAGATCCAACCAATTATAATACTGTTGTCAATAATATAGAGTCAAAGAAATTAATACATGATGTGCACTAAAGAAAAGCAGTTATATAATGAAGGATTTCTTCTCTGATGAGTGATGAATGTAAGCCTCATGGATAAATATTGTAATTTCATAAAAATATAACGTTTTATTTTTATTGCAATGATATAAAAAATTTAATGAATAATTAAGAGTTTTCTTCTTGTTAGGTAGAAAAAAGAAGTCTAAATTGGTGTGATATATATCACACCGTAAGACTCTCAGAGCTACTGAATGTTTCCCTAAAAGAAAATTCACTGATCAATTATTAAAAGAGTAAATCCCAAACACGAAAAAAAAAATACTCACGGAATAACAATGTCTTCTTTCTTTCCACATTTTGCACAAACTTCAAGTTCACAGGCACATCGTCTACACATTATGTGATAAGAATCTTTCACTGATTTTTGTAAACATTTAACACTACAAGTGGAAAAACAATCAAGTGTTATTTTTTATGAATTTCCTAAGATTTATCTGCTGAAATGAGGGGATGTAGCTAAATGTATAGGTGAAAAGCCTAAAAATCAAAGCTTCTATATTTCAATCTGTTACTTATCTTCTGTCAATTTAAATTAATTATACAGCATTTCTAAATAACAGTTTTTATTATTTTTTAAGTAAGATCTAGGCTCAAAGTGAGGCTTGAACTCATGTCCTCAAGATCAAGATTGCATAGTCCACTTACTGAGCCAGCCAGTAAGTGGATTTATCTTCTTTTAGAGATAAAAGCTTTTTAAAATGTCATCTGCAGGGTCACCAGCATGGCTCAGTCTGAGCATGAGACTCTTGATCTCAGGGCTGTAAGTTTGAGCCCTACATTCGGTGTAGAGATTACTTAAATAAATTTTTTTTAAATGTCAAATGCAAATAGTGACAGTTTTACTTCTTCCTTTCCTATTTGGATAACTTTTATTTCTTTTTCTTGCCTAATTACTCTGGCTATGACTTCCAGTACTATGTTGAATTAACAGGCATCTTCATCTTGTTCCTGACCTTAGAGGAATAACTTCCAGCTTTTCACTACTAAGTATAAGGTTTAGCTATGAGTTTATCATATATAGTCTTTATTACAGTGATGTATATTCCCTCTATACCCAGTTTGCTGAGAGTTTTTATCATAAACAGATAGTGAGTTTTTTCAAATGCTTTTTCTGCATCTACTGAGATGATCATACTATTTTTATCTTTTATTTTATTAGTGTGGTATATGACATTGATTCGTAGATATTAAACTATCTTTGCATCCCAAGCATAAATCCCACTTGATCATGTTGTATGATCCTTTTCATGTATTGTTGAATTTGGTCTGCTCATATTTTGTTAAGGGGTTTTGCATCCATGTGCATCAGGGATACAGGCCAGCAATTTTCTTTTCTTCTGGCATCCCTGCCTGTTTTGGTATCAAGGTGATACTGGACTCATAAAATGAGTTTGGGAGTGTTCCCTTATTTTCTATATTTTGGAATAGTTTGAGAAGAATTGGTATTAATTCTTTAATGTTGGCAGAATTTACCAGTAAAGCCGTCTGGTCCTAGACTTTTGTTTTGGGAGAGGTTTCTGATTATTAATTCAATCTCCTTACTAGTAATCAGTCTGTTCAGATTTTCTGTTTCTTTAAGATTCAGTCTTGGTAAGTTGTATGTTTCTAGGAATTTATCCATTTCTTATATGTTTTATGATTTGTTGGCATACATTTGTTCATGTAGTCTCTCAGGACCTTTTGTATTTCTGTGGTATCAATTGTAACTTCTATTTTACTTCCAATTTCATTTGAGTCCTTTCTCTTTTCTACTGGGTGAGTTGAACTCAAGATTTGTCAACTTTGTATATCTTTTCAAAGAAATAGTTCCTAGTTTCACTCATCTTTTCTATTGTCTTTTAGTTTCTATTTCACTTTTTTTCTGCCCTGATCTTTGCTATTTCCTTCCTTCTACTAACTTTGGGCTCATTTGTTCTTCTTTTTCTAGTCCCTTGAGATGTAAAATTAGACTGAGATTTTTCTTATTTCTCGATGTAAACATTTATTGCTATGAACTTCCCTCATAACTACTGCTATATCTCATACGTTATGGTGTGTTCTATTTCCATTTTCATTTGTCGCAAGGTGTCTTATTTTGTTTTCTTTTTCGATTTCTTCTTTGACCCATTGGCTATTCAGTAGCTTGTTGTTTACTTTCCACAAATTACTCAATTTTCCACTTTTGTTCTTGTAATTTATTTCTACTTTTAAACTGTTGTGGTTGAAAAAGATGCTTGATATGATCTCACTCTTCTTAAATATAAAAACAATTTTTTTAATGTTTATTTATTTTTGAGAGAGAGAAAGAGCAAGCAGGGGAGGGGCAGAGAGAGAGAAGGAAACGCAGAATCCGCAGCAGGCTCCAGGCTCTGAGCTGTCAGCACAGAGCCCAATGCAGGGCTTGAACTCACAGACCGTAAGATCATGACCTGAGCTGAAGTTGGACACTTAACCGACTGAGCCATCCAGGCGTCCCCGTCCTTCTTAAATTTTTAAGATTTGTTTTGTGGCCTCACATATGATCTATTCTGAAGAGTGTTCCACATGCACTTGAGAAGAAAAGTGCATTCTGTTGTTTTTAGGTGGAATATTCTATATATATCTGTATAATATTGTTAACATGTGTACACTACCCAAAGCAATGTACAGATTCAATGCAATGTCTACCAAAATTCCAATGACATTTCTCATAAAAATAAAATAATACTAAAATTATATGGAACCACAAAAGACCTCAAAGAGTCAAAGCAATTCGGAGAAAGAACACAGCTAGAGGCATCACACTTCTTGACTTCAAACTATAGTACAAAGCTATAGTAATCAAAGCAATATGGTGTGGTCATAAAAACAGATACAGAGATCAACAGAATTCATAGCCCAGAAATAAAAGCACACATATATGGTCAATTAATTGACAGCAAAGGAGGGACTCCTGGGTGGCTCAATTGGGTAAGTGTCCAACTTCAGCTCAGGTCACAATCTCATGATTCATGGGTTTGAGCTTCATGGGTTTGGGCTCTGTGCTGACAGATCAAAGGCTGAACCTACTTCAGATTCTGTGTCTCCCTCCCCCTCTCTGCCCTTCCCCCACTCAGAGTCTGTCTCTTTCTCGCAAAAATTAAAAAAAAATAATTTTTTTAAAAAAATTTACAACAAAGGAGCCAAGAACAAACAATAGGGAATGAATAGTCTCTTCAATCAATAGTATTGGGAAAACTGGACAGCCATGTCAAAACATGTCAAAGAATGAAACTGGACCTGTATCTTAAATCATACACAAAAATTCCCTCAAAATGGATTAAATACTTGAATGCAAGACTTGAGATGATAAAACTCCTATAAGAAAACATGGGCAATAAGCTCCATGATAAGGTCTCAGCAATGATTTTTGGGGGGATATAAGAAGAAAAGTAAAGCAGCAAAATCAAAAATAAATAAGTGGGACTACATCAAACTAAAATGCTTCTGCACAGCAAAGGAAACTATCAACAAAATGAAAAGTTAACTTACTAAATAGGAGGAAATAGGAGAAAATATTTACAAATCATATACAGTATCTGAGAAGGGGTTAATATCCAAAATATATCATGAACTCATACAACTCAATAGCAAAAGCACAAAGAATCCAATTATAAATGGAAAGAGAATCTCAAGACACTTTTCCAAAGACACACAGATGACCAAAAGGTATATGAAAAAAAATGCACAACTTCATTAATTACCAAGGAAATTCAAATCAAAACCACAATGAGATATCCCTCCATACATGTTAGAATGGCTATTATCAAAAAGACAAGAGGTAAGTGTTAGTGAGGATGTGGAAAAAAGGGAAACTTTGTGTACTGCTGGTGGGAATATAAATTAGTGCAGCCACTATATAAAATATGGAGGTTCCTCAAAAAATCAAAAATAGAAATACCATATGATCTAGTAACTCCACTTCTGGGTATCTATCTGCAGAAAATAAAAACACTACCGTGGAAAGATATGTGCACCCACATGTTAACTATGGCATTACTGCAATAGCCAAGAAATGGAAACAACCTGGGGTCACCTGGCTAGCTGGTCAGTAAAGCATGAGACTCTTGATCTCAGGGTTTTGAGTTCAAGCCCCACATTGGACATAGAGATTACTTAAAAAAAAAAAAAAAAAAAATGGAGACAACATACGTGTCCACTGATGGATGTATAGATTTTTAAAATGTGGTATATATACACAACAGAATATTATTTCAACCATAAAAAAGGAAGGAAATCAAAAGGAACAAACTTCTAGTTATAAAATAAATAAAGTTATGGGGAAGTAAGATACAACATGATAACTATAGTTTATGATATTAACTGTATTGCATATTTGAAAGGTTGCTAAGAGAATAAATCTTAAAAGTTGTCCTCACAAAACCATTTTGTAACTATGTATGTGACAGATGTGACAGATTATGTGTAAATTGTATTGCAAAATTATCACCACAATAATTATGTGGTGATAATTTTGCAATGTATACAAATATTAAATCATTATATTATATAATTGCAACTAATATTATATGTCAATTATACCTCAATTTTAAAAATTTAAAACTTTTGTGCAACAAAAGACATTTCAACATAGCAAAAAGAAAGAAAGAAAACAAACCTCACCGAATGGAAGAAAATATTTGCAAATATATGGTAACAGACTTCTACCTAGAATACATAAAGAACTCTTATAACTCAATAATAAAAACACAAAAAAACTCAAAAATAAGCAAAGGATTTGAATAGACATTTTACCAAAAAAATGTATAAACGGCCAATAAGCACATGAAAAGATGCTCAACATCACTAGCCATCAGGGAAATGCACATCAAAGCTGCAATGACATACCACCTCACAGCACTAGAATGACTATTATCAAAAAGAGGGCAATAAACAAATGTCAGTAAAAATACAGAAAAACTGGGAACTATTGTTGCTGGTCATAAGTAAAAAATTATGGTCACTTTTGAAAGCAATTTGGCAGTTCCTCAAAAGGTTAAATTACAGAGTTATCATATAACCCAGGAACCTCACTTCTCTCTCTACACATATACATGAGAATTGAAAATATACATGCATACAAAAACTTGTATATGAATGGTGACAGCAACATTATTTGTTAACAGTCAAAAGGTGAAAACAATCCAAATGTCCATCAAGTAATGAATGGCTAAATAAGATGCACAGCTCTACAGTGGAGTACTTAGTAATAAAAAAGAATTAAGTACTGCTAAATGTTATAACATGCTTGAAACAATTAGGCTAAGAAGCCAGTCACAAAACACTACATGTTATATGATTTTGTTGATGCGAAATGTTCAAAATGGGCAACGTGATCAAGCCAGAAAGCAAGGGTAGGGGTCCTGGGGGGAAAATGGAGACT